CTCTCTCTGTCTCTCTTTGGTGAGCTCATGCGCCCTAGAACAAAAAAATCTTTTTTTTAAAGGAGGGACCCAGAAAAAGGGTAGAGAAAATAGAGCAGAGAGGAGGCCAGGAAAGAAGATGGAGGAGATGGGAAAAGAGGAAAACCTGGAGGAGAGGAGCCGGGCATCGGCAGAGGGCAGCGTGCCCTGGGAGTCCCACACTGTGAGGACAATGCTGCCAGGCTGCCAAAGCCTGCTGGCTTCCCTGCCACGCCACTGTTCTGTGTACCTCTGAGTTTCCTTGCACAGTGGGTGGGGGAGGGAGCTCAACAGTAGGACCCAAACAGAGGCACAAAGTACAAAAACAAGAAGGGGGGTGGGGGGCCCAGGCTCCCGGCCCTTCCCACAGCCCAGGGAAAGCACCTAAGGCAGCCTCTGGGGACATTCTCACTGGTGTCCTCTCTTCCCTCTCCATCCCAGGAGCAGCTAGGAACTCACACATACATCCCGCAATGAGGCTCCAGTTCAGGGCCACCTGCGTCTGTGTGTGTGTGTGTGTGTGTGTTGGGGGGCGGCAGGTTGAGAGTGGGGTCCCAGCACATCCTCCTGGGGCAGGAAGGTGAGCTGAGCTACTATAATTATTCTCCCGGCCAGGAGAACTGAAATCACAGATCTGCCTGGCTCCCTCCCACGGACAGTGATGGCCCCAGGTTTCCCCAGAGGAAACCTGGCAGCTCCCAGTTGGGGTAGCAACTGAAGAGCCTCCACCGTTGGAGCCCACCAAAGGCTCCCCCCAGTCTTCCCCTTCCCCATCCTAGGAACAGACATAATGCCTTTGAAGCCCAAAGTTCTAAAGCATCTCATCCACTGCACCGGTGGGCACATCGAGGTCCAGCGAGCACAGGGACATGGCTAAATACACAAGAGTGTGTCAATAGCTGAAGTTGGGTTCTATTGAAGGTGGCTTCCAGACACCCCAGTGCACTGCCCTCTCCAGGACTGCCCCAAAGGATCCCCTGAAGAGCGCCTCTGTTTCCCAAATCTGCTGGGGGAGGACAGGGGAGAACAGGGGCGGGCTGGTGGGGGGGGGGTAGCCGGAGGTTTCCTGTCTGACTGAGAGTGAAAGGGCTGAAAGAGAGGATGAGGAAGGAGCAGCCAGGAGCCACAAAAGGCTTCAAAGGGCTCCCCCCGCCCCACCCCACCCCGCCACAGCCCAGCCAGCGGAGCTGCGGCCAGGGCGCCGCCCCCGCCCCCACTCTGCAGCCAAGGCCATTCATCCCCTCCCTCCCTCCCAGGAGCACGAGGAGGCCAGGGCATGGGACACAGCTTCCTTGCAGCATGAGGTCGTGCCACCCAAGGCGTGAGCTCTGGGAACGTGTCCCGCCTCCTGCCATAGCCACAGCAGGACGCAGCGGCGGGGGG